AGGGCCGGGCCAGGGCCTGGGCCGGCTGCCAAGCCTTCAGCAGCTCGGCCGTGTTGCTGGGACTGTTGCTAGTACTGACCCCGGGCCACAGAGGAGCCTTTAGGGGCTGGGCAGCGTGGCCAGGGGCCCTGCCCTGCCCCGTGCCGGGGCTGGGGCTCAGGCTGCTGCCGGGGCTGAGGCCGCCGGCGGTGGGCAGCGAGGCGGTGCTGTCAGGCGTGGGGCTGCAGTTGGACTCCTTGGACTCGTCGTCTTCCGAGGAGGAGCGCGGGTCCGACTTCTTGTTGGCCACGGCGCCGCCATTGCTGCCCCCGCCGGCGCCTTTGGCGTTGGCCGCTCGCTCCTGCTTGCGAAATTTGGCCCGCCGGTTCTGGAACCAGACCTGCAAGGGGGGCCGGGCCGGGGAGGGAGAGAGCAGAGAAGCCAAGTCACGCGGGGGCCAAGAGCCGCTCGCCGCCGGGACGGGCTGGAGGGGTCTGCAGGCTCCTGCTGCAGCTCCGGCCAGCCCCTGACGCACCCTGGGCCCACAGCGAGAGATGGCCGGTGCAAATGGTGCGAGAAGCGGGGATGAAGGAGGGAGGTGGCTGCACCAGCAGGATGCCCTTTACTCCCACTCCCCTTCTCCAACAGCTGGATGTCACCCAGCTGCAAATCCAGCGCCTCCCTGTTGTCCTGTTCATCAGTGACTGGCGGCACAGCCGTGCCGGCAGCGAAGGGCACAGCCGGTCCAGCGCCCTGCTCGAGGATCGGCAGGATCGGCCCTGCCTCAATCCGCCCAGGCAAGGGTGTGTCTAACCTACATGACAAGGGATGCGGTGCAGCTACAAGGCCCGTTGCCCCTAAATGAGACCCCAGAGCTGCTGCCGCAGGACGGCTGGCCATGTCCAGCAGCTGCAAGGGGGGTTAAATGCTCAAGAGACCCCAGGCAGAGGCCATGCCCCCACTGCAGAGGAAGGCAACCCCCCCCCCATCCGTACCGATCTGACGGGGGAAATTCCTTCCTGCCCCCAAATGCAGCCAGGACTCTCTGGGGTTGGTCCCAGCAGTACTGGGGGGTATCTTTTGCCCTCGGAGCCCCAGCTCCTGGAATCAGGGGGATGGAGAGGCAGCCCTGGCTGGACGGCAGCCGTGCCCAGAGCAGGGCACCATGCTTCTGGATCCAGCCCATCCCAAAGGCAACGTGTCTCTAGATTGCCCGAAGAGCTGCACAGCGCGCTCCGGATCTAACGGGCAGTCTCTACCCCAAAAGGCACGCACGCGGCTGCCTGGCATCAGCCGGCGGATGGGGTCTCCCTGTCTCTGCCTGTTCCCCGCTGCTGGCTGGGCAAGGACTGGGGAGGACACGACCATGGAGCAACTCGGACTCTGACCCTGGGGAGCAGCATCGTCCCTCCCTCTGCCCCAGCCTCGCACCAGCTGTAACCAGGAGGAAGTGAGAGGGGAGCAAAGCCCCTCTTTCCTTCCCTCTTTCAAGGCTGGTCCTGTCACCTCCTGGCAACCACCCCCTTTCCACCCCCCGCAGGGTGGTTTGCTGGGGGTGGCAGAGCTGGGGGCCACCCTGGCACCCTCTAGCAGCTGCACCGGTGAAGGGAAGAGCTGCCCGGCGGTGAGCGCGGGGGAGGCAGGGGGGTCTGAGTGTGACGGGGCTGGCCAGGGACCTGGGCACAGGGATGCGCGCAGAGACGGGCACCTTATTTCTCCAGCCAAAGCTGGTGTGCAGTTATCCCAGGGGCTGAGGCACGCTCAAGGCCAGGTGGGGTAAGAGAGGGATGCACGGCGCCAGCTTTTGCAGAGATTTCTCTAGCAAAGAAGCGGGGGGGGGAGAAGGCAGGCGAAGCCACAGGGGTGAGGCAGGGTCCCGTCTCATTGATCCAGCCAGCAGCTCCCCACTCCAGACACCCCACAAGCCAGGGGCGGCTGGGCTGCGTGACAGGGGAGGCCCCGATCCACAGGGCGTGGGTAGTTTGCAAATGCCGGCGGCATGCTGCGCCGGAGGCACAGACCTGCTCACGGCCCCTCCGCCCTGCAGCTCTCCCTCCTGCCCTCCCTCCATTCCTCAGCTTCCCTGTGTGCCCTGAGGCTACTGGGCCCTGCTGCCTCCTCCTCTATGGGGTTTCCCAGGCTTCTGGGCTTTGCTGCTTGACCTCCCCCCTGAACTACCTGCTCCATGTGTCAGGGGGTTTTAAGCCTCCCCTTGAGGTGCTGGCTGCAGCTGGGGATGGGGACTGGGCTGTGCCAATGCTCCTGTTGGGACCAAACCCGGAGGGTCCTGGCGAGAAGGTCTTGCCCCTGTGTTCAGGGTCGGACTGATGCTACATTTGGGGTCAGGGAGGAATCCCACCCCCCCCCATCAGACTGGTGCAGACTGTGGGGTTTTGCCTTCCTCTGTAGTGGGGGCACTGGGATCTCTTGAGCATCTATGATCAATCTTTGCAGCAGCAGGATGTTGGCGGCCGCGGGCCCCCTGCTCTCCCTGCGGCAGGGTGGGGTGCGACGCCTGGTGCTGCGGCAGGGGCGACTGCAGTTTTGCTCAGAGGTCGGACACTGGGTTTGTCTGGGGATAGCTGGACAGGGCTGATCCTGCCCGCGGCAGGGGTTGGACTAGACGTGACCTCGGCAGCTCCCTTCCAGATGTGTCTCTAGGACAGCAACGAGAAGTGGGGGTGAAACCTGCCTGGGCTGTTCCTGGGGTACTCGTCAGCCTCAGCCTGGTTGCTTCCCCCGGGTCTGGTCTCTGGACTTCCCTCCTACCCTCTCCACCCCTGCTGCTACTGCTCCCTCCCCCTGCAAATCCCTGCTCCCTCCACCCCTGAGCCCCACCCAGAGACAGCCGGGTGGGCGCTAGGGCGGGCGCTATGGGCCTCCGGCTGCTCTCCCCCATCCTCAGACCAGCACTGATGGGGCAGGGGCCGAGCACAGCAGCAAGGGACCCCCAAGATCTGCTGGAGATGGGGCTGTTAAATCAGCCCAGCCTGAGACCATTACCTTTCAGTCTGCCCTGGGCCCCGGTGGGCATTTAATTGGCACTGAGGTGCACCCAAGTCTCTAAGCAAAACCCCCTCTGCACCCGGCTAAACCTGTCTCCTTGGGGAACAGCCTTCTTCCGCACAGCCTGCAGCACCGAGCGCTGGGACGGGTGGAAAGGAGCAGCACTGTGCACCCCCCGGGGACACCGGGGCTGCTCCTGGCCAGCCCACAGCTCCGTCCAGCCCCTCTCCTGCAGCGCTGCATCCCCTGCCCCTCTACACGGCCAAAACCAGAGACCCAGGAAGGCCGAAATTGGGGTCCCCCTGTACCCCCTTTAATACCCATAGGCATTTCCCTGCTCCCCTTCAGAGCCCCGCTGGACTCTCGGCCTCTAACACACCCTGAGGCAACCAGCTCCCGAGTGAATCAGGCTGCACAAAAGCGGCAGCCTCCTTTCCTCGGTCCAGTGCTGTCGGAGACGGGAAGAGGCAAATCCCGGCTTAGTCTCTCTGTCCCGTGCATGATTTTACAGCCCCCTCGACATCTTCTTCCCCCCGTTCTCTTTCCTCCAGGCTGACAAGCCCCAGCCTCTTTCAGCTCTCCGTGCACACGAGACTCTCCACGCCCCGGTGCTGCCCCTTTCCCCCCTCTGCCCACAGCAGGCAGTATTCAGGACGCGGGTGCACCCTCCTTACTAATTCCCACCCTCCTCCGAGTCTGGGTGAGGGCCGCAGGGAGCTACCCGCAACAGTCCTGACGTGGGAGAGGGGGCAGGATCTGGCTCCCGGGTCAGGCCTAGCAGCAGGGCAGCTGCTGCACCCTCCGCATGAGCTGGCCCCTGCTTGAGGAAATGCACCCACAGCGCTGGCTGTCGAGGGCATGCTCCAAGCACCAGGGACAGGGCTGCCCAGGTGCTCCTGGGATCTGGATGACTCTCCTAGGGAGGGATTGTCTCCTCTGTGCCGTGGGGCCCTGACTGGAACCATTGTGGACACACGCCTGTTCCCACTGTGCCAGGGCCACCAGTGATGGCATCCTCATGCCAGCCCTGCCATGGAGGCATCAGTGTGCCTGGGCTAATGCTGGAGAAATGGGCGTGCAAGGTCCAGGGGAGAGCTCTCAGCCTCCCCTCCCCACAGCGGCTGCACAGGGTGAGCACCATCCGTGCAGGGAAGCAGACCCTCACAGCCCAAGCCCTGGGCATGCTGAAGGCACCTTAAATCCAGCTCGGCACTCAGCAAGGGAGGCAGGGGGCAGCGGGCTGGGACGTAAGGGCTCCTCCACCCTGTCTCTACCCAGCCATCGGAGGAGGGTTGGATTGGAGCTCAGGAGGTCACACCTAGTGCAACCCCCGGCTCCAAGCAGGACTGGCCCCAACTACATCATCCCAGCCAGGGCTTTGTCTACTCCGGGCTTCAAAACCTCCAAGGATGGAGACTCCCCCACCTCTCCGGGGAGCCTGCTCCAGTGCTTTACTACCCTCCCGGCCGGAGCTTTTCTCTAGCCCCGCCGCCAACTCAGTGTGACCCTATGCGCCAACATCCCTCGCTCCCCCTGCCTCAGTCTCCCCGCTCCCCACTCCCTTGCCTCAGTTTCCCCCCCTCAACTCTCCCAGTGCCGGCTCCTGGGGAGGACGGGCAGTGCCGGGCGGTGCTCACCTGCACCCGGGCCTCGGTGAGGTCGATCTTGAGCGCCAGCTCCTCACGGGTGTAGATGTCGGGGTAGTGCGTCTCGGCGAAGACCCGCTCCAGCTCCTTGAGCTGCGAGCTGGTGAAGGTGGTGCGGATCCGGCGCTGCTTGCGCTTCTCGTTGATGCCCGACGGGTCCGAGAAGAACTTGTAGGGCACTGCGGGGGGAGGCCAGTGTTAGCCGAGGGGGCAATGCCCGCGGGGCGGGGGGTGCCGTGCGGAGGCGCTAATTGCTGCATCGCGCAACACCCGCACCCTGGACACGACCCCGCGCCCTAAATGCACACACGGGCCACGCGATCACGCGCGTGAACCACGCCGGCCATGCAAACCGGCCGTGGGGAGCGCGCCATTCCCCCGCGACCCCGGTGAGAAACCCGGAGCGGACACACGTGCGGAGTCCCGAGCGCATCGAGCTATCGAGCCCGGCCAGC